GCACACTCAGGTCACATTGCACCTCCACCTTTCTCAAACTATCACCATTCAGATAATAATCTGCCCTCCTGTTTTTGCTACCAAAGTGGATAACCTCACATTTATTCACATTATAGTGCATCAATGAAGCATGTGTCTGTTCACTCGCTCAAATTGTCCAAATGTTGGTCTGAAAGCATTCCTTTGAAAGTCCACGTGACAATTTAGAATGTTCAAGTGATATACAAGTGCAGCTGATTCTTGCTGCCTTTATCCATAGTTGGTTCCTTTACACCTCACGGAGAGATGTTCAGAGCAACATGTGGATAATCACCCGCAATATCTACATTGATTGCCATAGAATGGTCAGTCTGAGAGCACAGAGAAATTGCTTCCAATATATTAGAAAAGGATTAAACCAAACAGGTTCTCATGGTGGTTGCTACCAAGTAATTGTTACGGGAAACTATGTATGTGTTATCTTTGTCCCCCCATTTATTATTCACCTACATGCTACCCCTCTGTAACATAATCCAAAGGCACAACATTAAATATCACATGTACACTGATGTCTGACTCAAACCCAGCTCCAACTCACCACCACGTCTCTTGACTCCACCGCTGCCACTAAGTTGTCAAATTGCTTACCTGACATCCAGTACTGGGCCAGCGGAAATTTCTTCAAAATGAAGAATGACTGAAGTAATTGTTTTTTGGTCTTTTTGTTTTTTTGGTTCTGAGGAAGGGTCACCGGACCCGAAACGTTAACTCTGTTTTCTCCTTCACAGGTGCTGTCAGACCTGCTGAGCTTTTCCAGCAACTTTGTTTTTGTTCCTGATTTACAGCATCTGCAGTTCTTTTGTTTCTTTTTAATTGTTTTTTTGGTGTTGACTGCAAACCCGCCCCCGCTGCCCCTTTTTCATATTCATTCATGGGATGCAAGTGTCTTTGGCTAGACCAGCATTTATTGCCCAGAGGGCAGTTAAGAGTCAACCACATTGCTGTGTCTGGAGTCAGATGTAGGCCAGACCAGGTAAGGATGGCAGTTTCCTTCCCTAAAGGACATTAGTGAACCAGCTGGGCTTTCCCGACAATCAACAATGGATTAATGGTCATCATTAGACTCTTAATTTGAATTCAGTCTTCGCCATCTGCCATGGCGGGATTTGAACCCAGGTCCCCACAACATTGCCTGCTCTCTGGATTAATAGTCTAGCAATAATACCACTTGGCTCCCCATTACCTAGCTCCTCAACTGCATCAGTACCACTCTAAGGTTGAGAGTAAAAGTCTGACTCCACAGACTACTTCACGAATTAAGATAGCCACTTGCAGGACACATTACAGGAGTGCTGCATGGTCAAGGTAGCTGCACTTCATTTGAGGTTTTAAAGTACGGTTCCAGTTGCCCTCTGAGGTAGATGTTAAAAAGTCCAACCATTCTATTTCACAGAAAAGCATTGACGTTTCCTCAATATTAGTAATGACTAATATTTATCCCCTACCCACATCAGTGATAAAATACATTATCATTGCCATCAGATTGTTGCCTGTGGGATCTTGCTGTGCACAAATGATTGCCGCTTTTCCTGCCTTTCGATAGTGACTACATTTTAATGAATACATTATTAGCCATAAAAGCATTTCAAAGCATCCAGAGGTCATGGAGAGACACTATAAAAATGCAAGGCGTTTCCTTCTTTTATACAGCCACACTTGTACACACCAAACAAGCGCTGCCACATCAGCTTAGCCTGACGGATCGACAAAGTGACGGAAAGTGTTATCAACAGTCCTATCACGCAGAACTTGCCTAGCAATAACGTGTTTGTTAGTGCTCAGTTTGGAACAAGCAAAAACCTTCGAGGGTCACTGGATTTGAAATGCTAACCTGGCTTCGTCTTCACAGATGCTGCTGAGTTTCTCCAGCAATTTCTGTATTTGTTTGTTTCAGATCTCCAGTATCCACACTTCTTTGTTTTATTTTAACACTCAGATTGGGTACTTCTGGGCTTATGTCTGCGGCTGACCACGTCACACCCTTATTTGAAACATGAGCTGAAATCCAGAAGGGAAGTGAGGATGACTGGCCCTCATATGTAAGTAGCATTTTGATCAAAATATGGCAACAAGGAGCCCTAGTGAAACTGGAGGACATGGGAATCAGGGGAAAATTTGTTTCTGGTCAGCATCATACTTGGCACAAAGGAACATGGTTGTGTTTGTTAAAGTCAACCATCTCAGCTCCAAGACATCATTGTAAGAGCTCTTCAGGGTAGATTCACAGACCCAACTATCTTCATTGTTTCATACATAACTTTTCTCTGCCAAAAACTCAGAACTGTGTACTGATTATTGCAGTGTTTACAACCATTCATGACTCTTCAGATACTAAAGAGTGGATATCCAAATGCAGCAAAACCTGCACAATATCCAGGCTTGGACTGGCAAGTAGCAAGTACCAGACAAGCACACAAGTGCCAGACACTGACCACTTCAAATAAGAGAATCTAATCTTGACATTCAATGGCACTACCATAGCTGAATTGTCTACTAGCAGCATCCTGGAATTTATCATTGACCTAAAAACTGAAGTGGACCAGCCATTTAAGTCTTGTGGTGACAAGAGCAGGTCAGAGATTGGGAATTCTGCAGCGAGTGATTCATCTCCCAATTCCTCAAAGTCAGTCTACCATCTACAAAGCACAAGTCAGGTTTGCAGTGGAATATTCTTCACTTTCCGGGATGAGTACAGCTCCAACGCTACTCAATACATTTGATATCATCTCGGACAAAGCAGTCTGCTTCATTCTCTACTTTCACTCCATCCACCACTGATGCACAGCATATGCTATCTACATGATGCACTGCAACAACTCACTGAGGTCCTAAGGCACCCCTTCCAAACCTGTGACTTCTATCCCCTAGATAGACAAGGGCAGCAGATACATGGGAACACACCAACTGCAAGCTCCCCACAAAGTCACACGCCATCCTAACTTGGAATTATATCACCATTTACTCACGTAGTCAATATCCTGGAACTCCCTCCCTCAAGGACTACAATAGTTCAAGGCAGCCACTCTCCTTCTCTAGGGCACTTAGGGATGGGCAATAGATGCTAGCCTAGCCAGATGAAGAAGAACATAAGAACATAAGAACTAGGAGCAGGAGTAGACCGTCCGGCCCTTCGAGCCTGCTCCGCCATTCAATAAGATCATGGCTGATCTTTTCGTGGACTCAGATCCACTTACCCGGGTGACTGCACTATAAGAATTTCTGATGCTGCCAGACCTGCCGACTTTTTTCCAGCAATTTCTGCTTTTGTTTCACATCCCCAGCATGTGCAGTTCTTTGTGTTTTTTTTAAAAAACGCTGATAGTAACAGCGATGATAATGTGGTGGTAATATTAAAAGATGTTAAATAAAAATCGAAAGAACTGTGGATGCTGTAAATCAGAAACAAAAACAGAAATTGCTGGAAAAGCTCAGCAGAACTGAAGAAGGGTGACTGGACTTGAAACGCTAACTCTGAATTCCCTTCACAGATGCTGCCAGATCTGCTGAGCTTTTCCAGCAATTTCTATTTCTGATAAAATATGCCAAATTGGTTCGCTGATGTTCTTTAGGGAGGAAACTTGTCCTCCTTTTCTGAGCTGGTCCCTATGACTCCAATCTGACACCGGTATGGTTGACTCTTAATAGCCTTCAAAAATAACCCTGCATACCAGTCAGCTGTAATTAGAATCCCTACAGCATGGAAACAAGCCCTTCAGACCAACAAGTCCACACCACCCCTTGGAGCATCCCACCCAGAACCATCCCCCTATAACCCACCTAATCTACACATCCCTGAACACTACAGGCAATTTAGCATGGCCAATCTGCCTAACCCGCACATCTTTGGACTGTGGGAGGAAACCTACACAGACACAGAAAGAATGTGCAAATTCCACACAGACAGTTGCCCAAAAGGGGAATTGAACCCGGGTCCCTGGCGCTGTGAGGCAGCAGTGCTAACCACTGAGCCACCGTGCCACCCAATTGACTAGGAACAGGCAATAAATGCCAGTCTTGCCAAAAATGTCCAAATCCTGAGAAAGTATTTAAAACAAAAACTTGACGTGCTTTCAATTTCACTCAGAAGAATTCTAATCACTTGTCCTATCACAGATCATATGCAACCTTGGAGAAATGCCCTAGATTTGGATGACAGCAGCATGGCATGTAAAGACTGGGGTCAATTCTCAGGTCACCATCCACTGCCCTGAGTATCTCTCAAACCCATGCAAGTGTCAAGTCAAATGACAGCACTGTGATTGGACACCTACCTACAATGTGTATGAAAATAGGTCAGGGTGTACACAACTTGAATGTGTTACCAAAGCTTTTCATTTTGCTTCTGTCAGGACAAATTCAAGAATTCCAAACTGTCATAACAACAAATCTTGAGGGTTCTAATAGCTACACACAACCAATTTGAGAGAGTCAATTGAGATCCTAATAGTTATTGTTTGCTAGAGATGACAGACGTTAATATATAGGGACCAGCTCTCTGCTAACTAAATGAATGTGTTCAAGCCTTGTCGTTTTTTCTCCTGAATTACCCAGAAGCTGAGGGAGCCTGTAGTTCCTGTTTTCCAGGGAAACACTTCACCCTGGAGTTGAATTGCCAACCAATTAGCACCTTTTCTCTCCTGCACTGGAAGTTATGGTGGCAGTTTGAAATTTGGTATTCCTGCATTTGTCCTGATGAGCACCAGAGAGAAAGCTCCATGGACGGGTCACTCTTTGTGTCAAAGAGTCTTAAATCTTTAAAAATCCCGTTCACATTCCACATCTCAAAAGATGAGGCACAAGGAGGGCAGCTGGAACAATTAAGAAAATAAATAAATTAGAGCCACTTGCCAAGACAGTAGAAACGGTGAAAGGAAAGCGTCAGTTTAAGGGGATATTGACAAATTATAGGAGTGGAGCTGCTGAGGGACAGACAGTATGTACAGGCGGACAGAGTAACTCACCAAACCCTGGCATGTAGACACGGCCACAGACGAAGCACTGTCGTTCCTGATGTGTCCCTGGTAGAAGCAGTTCGCTTGAGACTCCGGGAGGAGTTTCTCGGTGAGACCCTCGGGGCCCAGCAGGTGCACGGTGAAACCTTTCGCCAGCACGTTCGAGGCTCTTAAGTCGAGGTGCAGCTCCTGGTCAGAGAAGGAGAGTTTGTAATGTAGGGAATCCACAGGCGCTGAGCGTTTGTCTCTGTTACTCTGCACAGAACTTCCACCCGGATCAACTTTAACAGGTGTCACCAAGATATAGTCTGCAATGAGAGGAAGAAAAACCACCTTGACAGTGCATGTTGCAATATTTAATGTTGCCAGCCCGACCATCCTGTAAAATGATGGAAAACCACTTTATCATTTTTTTTGGGGGGGGGGTGTTGTATTATTCCCATTGCCACGTTCGGCTGTGCAGCGGAGACATTGAATGTATACAGTACATGCTGCCTCGCTGTCTGAATGTTTGCGGTGCAGTGATCATTCACGGAAGTGGATCCAATCGTGGGAGCTGCAACTTGGACAGAATCGAAAATACACTTTTCTTTAAAAAAAGTAATCCCCTCCACCTCTTCCCCGCAATGTTATCATTCATTCATTCCTGCTTATCCCGGGACGACTTGGTGGCTCAAAATTGCAAGAGCATCGCAAGTCTTTTCATCGGGTCTCATTCGGGAGATGAAATCTCTCTACCCCCTACTCCGACCCCACTTCATTTCCCAGCGGCGGATCTCCCCAGGAGCTGACTGCGAGACAGGGAAATCGCAGCCTTAACTCTCCTGCTGCCTGGAGCTGTCTCTCTCTTGCACCAGTGCGTGCGGATCCCAACTCTCTCTCTCTCTCTGTCTATGTGCAGGTACGTCGCACTGTCTGTATACCTGTGTCTGTCTCTATCAGCAAGTCTCTGTGTCTCCCGAATCTGCTTCTCTCTCCCAATCTGTAAGCGTCCCTCTCTCTCTCGCTGGCTGACAGTGAATCTGTCTCTCTGACTGTATCTGTCTCTCTGTCTGTATGTGTCTAACTTGTCTCTAAGTCTGTATGTGATTGCCGCTGCGTCCCTCTCCCCTGACTGTTCAGATGTCCACATATGTACTCCCTACTGTCTCTCTGACTGAGCCTCTATGTCTGTAACTTCGTGTGACTCTGTCTCAGACTGTATCTCTACGTCTGCATGTCCAACTGTGTCTCTAAGTGTGTCTGTGATTCCGTTTGTCTCCCTCCCCAACTGACATTTTCTGTAAGCCCCTCTCTGACTCTGTTCGAATGTGACTGTTTGTGTGGCCAAGTCTGTATAAGATCCTCACTGAGTCTTTCTCCCCATCCGACAGTCTCTCTATTTCTGTGTGCCCTTCTCTGACTTGTGTTCTCTGTGTGACTGTCTGTCTGTAGCTGTATGTCTGCCTGTGTCTCTGTCTGTATCTGTGTGTGTCTGTATGTCTGTCTGTATGTGCCTCTGCATCTGTGTCTGTCTGTATTTATGTGTCTGTATGTGCCTGTGCATCTTTGTGTTTCTGTCTGTATCTGTGTGTCTGTATGTGCCTCTGCATCTGTGTGTGAATGTATATACCTCTGCATCTGTGTGTCTGTATCTATGTCTGTTTGCGCCTCTGCATCTGTGTGTCTCTGTCTGTATGTGCCTCTGCATCTGTGCATGTGTCCGTATGTCTGTCTGTATCTGTGTGTGTCTGTATGTGCCTCTGCATCTGTGTGTGTGTCTGTATGTCTGTCTGTGTTTCTCTGTCTATCTCTGTGTGTGTGTCTCTCTCTCTCCCTGACTGTTCGCGTCAGGGTCTCTGTGACTCTTACACGCACACACTATAGCTCCCAATTTTGCATCGCGTACATAACTGTGTTTAAAGAACATAACGCATATATATAAGTATACAAACCATCGCTTATTCCAGTGTTCTCAGGGTTTTGTGCAGACCCCGGGTTTTCAGGAGAAACGCAGCAGAAGTGCAAAATCTGTGATTTGGGGGGTTGGGAGGAGAGAGAGAGAAAGCAAGTCAAAAATTAAAACAGATTAACGTTTAGCACACAAATCTCACAACGGCACTTGTCTGGGATCGCAATCTTTACGACCAGGCTGTCTAAAAATTAAAAGCACGTTTACAGTTTAAACAGTGGGCTACAATAAACCGAGACAAAATGAAATTCGTGGCACCTGCCTGTAGAATATGAACAAACCAGAACGCTGTGAGGAGTTGCATTGCAGAGTTATTCAGCGGTGCAGGTACATTCCATATTGCCAGGAAAAGGCCATCCATTTCTCTTCGTTTTTGTACTTCTTTCGCGAAAGGATGGGGGTTTTTGTGTGTGTGTGTATTAAAGGCAGCAGCCTGTTACCTCCTGGAAGAGGAATCCAGGAGTGAGCTTTGCAAACTGGGACTGCGTTCGTTCAACATTTTGGATCTCGTGGTTTTGGCTCGAAGTTGTGTCCTTGTGGGGTAAAAATGCCTGTTTTGCATTGGTTTGTGTACTGGACAGGTAGTGCGAACCAGAGAGGGAGAGGGACGGTTCAGGCTGGCTGCTGGAGTATACGGCACTCCTTTTTCTCCGATTCTATGAATGGGGAGAGAATTGAAGTTGCTTTTCACTGGTAAGCCCCAGGACCAATCACCGGGCGACATCGACAACGTAAACTCGGCCCTGCTGCGGATTCGCTGCCAGCAAAATGCACTCGCCAATATTCCGCTTCGCAACCTTTTTTAATATATACATATATATGCACTGTATAGGTATACACCGAACAATCTCATGGGTATATTCCTTTTAAACGTTCCGCAGTTGGCCTCAGTACCCTCGCCTGGGGCTCCTATAAGACGTGACTCCACCCTTCCCACTGCTAGGTGTGCAGTCAAAAAAAAAATCACAAATCACCACCCCCCACCACCACCCCGCCATGTACGACCCCGACTTGCAAAGCACTTCCCAGTCAATGACATGTTTCTTTTCATTGTGTAGGAACACAACCAATGCACAGCAAGCTCCCACAAACAGCAGTGTAACCATGTTGACCAGATGATGTTTTCAAAGGGCCTGAGGAAGGGTCTCCCGTTCTGATGCAAGGTTCCTGGACTCCAAACATTAACTCTGTGGAGATCTCCAAAATTATGAGAGGCACAGAAAGGGTGGATAGTCAGAGGCTCCTTCCCCAGGGTGGAAAGATCAACTACAAGAGGGCACAGGTTCAAGCTGAGAGGGAGAAAGTTTGGGGGAGAAATGCGCAGAAAATTTTTCACACAGAGGGTGATGGGTGCCTGGAACACACTGCCAGTGGAGGTGGTGGAAGTAGGCACATTAGCAATGTTTAAGGTGATGTTGGCTCAGTGGTTAGCACTGCTGCCTGTCGGTGCCAGGGCCCCAGGTTTGATTCCATCCTTGGCCGACTGTCTCTGTAGAGTTTCCACATTTTCCCCAAGTCTGTGTGGGTTTCTTCTGGGTGCTCTTGTTTCCTCCCACAGTCCAAAGACATGCAGGTTAGGTGGATTAGCCATGCTAACTTGTCCATCGTGTTCAGGGATCTGCAGGTTAAATGGGTTAGCCACGGGAAAATACAGTGTTTTGCAGGGATAGGGTGGTATTGGGTGAGATACTTTTCAGAGGGTCAGAGTGGACTTGATGGGCTACATGATTTGCTTCCACACTGTAGGGGTTCTATGTATCTTGATAGGTACATGAACATGAGGCAATCAGAGGGATAGAAACTGCACATGGGTGCTAAGTCCTGGGTCTAAAAGATTAGGAATTGCTTCAGCCTTGGGGGACCAAAGGGCTTGTTCCTGTGCTGCATTTTATATAATTACATTGTTTCTCTCTCCGCAGATGCTGCCAGAGCTGCTGAGTTTCTCAAGTACTTTCTGTTAGTGTTTTCATGATGTTAATTAAGGGATAACCAAGGTGGTCACATGGACACCAAGGTGAAGTTCTCAGCCCATCTTTGGGAGAGTGCCCAGGGATCTTTAGCTAAGCAGGAGCCTCAAACATACCTCGCCACAACAAATAGCCTCTTTATTGGATTTTGTGTTTCAGTTTCTGGGCTAGCACTTGCGGAGTTCAAAGTAACAGCCGCTCAACCATTATAGTCGGCACAAGTTACCAGGACTGGAGGGTTTGAGTTGTAGGGAGAGGCCGGATAGGTTGGGATGTTTTTCCCCTGGAGTGTAGGCGGCTCAGGGTGACCTTATAAAGGTTATAAAATCGTGAAGGGCATAGTTAACGTGAATAGCCAAGATCTTTTATCCAGGATAGGGGAGTCTGAAAGTAGAGGGTGTAGGTTTAAGGTGAGAGGGGAAAGATTTAAAAGGGACCTAGGAGGCAACTTCTTCACACAGGGAGTGGTGTCTATGTGGAATGAACTGCCAGAGGAAGTGGTGGAGGCTGTTACAGTTACAACATTTAAAAGGCATTTGGATAGGTAATGGATAGGAAAGGTTTAGATGGAGATGGACCAAATGCAGACAAATTGGAACAAAAACAAAGTTGCTGGAAAAGCCCAGCAGGTCTGGCAGAATCTGTGAAGGAAAAAACAGAGCTAACGTTTCTTGTCCTGTGACCCTTCCTCAGAACTAGTCCCAGCACGAGTTAAGTTTGGGATACCTCGTTGGCAGGGATGAGTTGGACCGAATGGCCTGTTTCTGTACTCTATTATTCTGTGACTGTAAATGAATTCTTCTGAATTTAATTTTCCAAACATTGCAAAGTGACTGCTGTGTGGAACGTTTTGCACATTCTCAGAGTGAGTTTGTAAAATGCATGCTTGGAATTATGATGAAAAATTGACTTTCATTTATATAGCAACCCTCACATTTGCAGGAGGTCTGCAAAGCACTTTCTAGCCAATGAGGTGCTTTTGCAGTGTGGGCACTGTCATACTGTGGGAAAGAAAACAGCAAATCTACGCGTGACAAGTTCCCACATCATGACTAGTTTTCTGCTTTCAATGACTTTGGTTGAGGCCACTGGGGAGAATACCCTCCACTTCTTCAACATATGGGATCTTCCCTAACCATCTGGGAGAACTAACAGGGCCTTGACTTAACAGCTCATCCAAAGTATGGTATTTCTGACAATTTACCATTCCCTTGATAGCAAACTGAAAGTGTTGTATCCAAGTGTCTATCCAATGCTATGAACTCACAACCTTCTGACTCATAGGCAATAGTGCTGGCATTGAGCCAAGGCTGACAAAACAGGAATGATGCGAGGGATTAATGCAGGCATTTTACATTGAGCACCCACGTAAGGGCTTCCCTTCTCAGGATGAAGGAAAGCTACTCAAGCATGCCCACCATCCCCATTAGCTGAGCGGAAATCACTCAATTGCATCAAACGCTGAATTTTCTTATCACCGTATTATCAATGGATCCTGATAACCACTCCGCCTAGCCGAGGATGATGCTTGAATGAGATTTCTATAAACTGTGACTACAAACAGCAAATCTGACGATCTTGTGCCACAGCTCATTTGATTGTACATTCAGCAAATCCGACCAAACAACACAGCACGCTCAGCTCACAAATGGGTGAACTGCCAAGCAGTCTGAGTTGCTGTTATGGGAAATTTCACTATGTATGTACCTCACAGGGTAAGGCACATCAGAAGCTAAATCATTCTGGATCTTTCCCCCCTCTCACTTCTATTCCTTTTTCTTTCCTCACCTGAAGTGGTAGACATTTCTGTGCTGTGGGCCTGTCTGTGGGCAGTTCAGTCAATTGCCTCACTGGAGTGGCAGCCCCTCAGCATCAATAGACACAATGAGCATCAGCTAGTTCCTTAACCATAGGACAACATCGCAGCCAAGCTCAATTTCTTTTTGCCTGCCACCCACTTATGTTCAAGCACCAGCACAGAGAGTGATCGCAAGCATCCTTAACAAGCCAACTCACTGGGATTAGCTGCCTAGCTCAGTAGCATTTTGGTTTTAACTGGTCTCTCAGTTGGAATATTGTGGGTTTAAGTCCAGTTGTTTGAGCATGTCATTTAGGCTGACACTCCAGCACTGTATTGACACTGTGCTGCAATGTCTGTGATGTGGTAGTTCAGGTAAGATGCTGCTTGGAGGCTCTGGCTGCTCTCTTTCAGTGGCTGTTTCAAAGAAAGGGAGAGATGTAATGCTCAGTGGTTTGGCTAATACTGCATAGAAAGTAGGAACAGGAGTAGACTATTTGGCTGTTCCAGCCTGGTCCACCATTCAATATGATCATGGTCAATCCTCCATCTCAATACCATATTTCTGCTTTCTATCTATATCCCTTGCTTTTAGGATCTAAAAAAAAAATTCTATCTCTTCCTTGGATATATTTTGTGACTTGGCATTCACAGTCTTCTATGGTAGTGAATTCCACAGGCTCACTATCCTTTGAGTAAAGAAATCTTTCCTCATCTCGGTCCTAAATGGCCTGTACCCTGTACCCTGAAATGTGTCATTTGGTTCTAGATTCTCTGACCAGAGAAAATATCCTCTCTGCAGATGTCCAGCACAGTTAGAATTTTATACATTTCATTGAGATCTCTTCTCATCCTTGTAAACTCTGGTGAATACTGGTCCAGTTAAACCAATCTCTGCCCATAGGATAGTCCTGCCATCCTGCATCAGCCTAGTGAATGTCCAATGCATTCCCTCTATGGCAAATATATCCTTTCCTAGTTTGAACTGAATGCAATACTCCAGATGTGGTCCTACCAAGGTGATCTGTAACTGAAATAAGGCATCCCTACTTCGGAACTCAAATCCTTGGTTGGATCACATTTAAGTACTTTGTGCAGTTCTAGTTACCATTTTCCAAAGTGATAGATATAAAGACAGTAGAGAAAGTACAAGGAAGGCCTATATGGATAATGTTAGAAATACATGGCTATGCATAAAGACAGACAGGTAACTTTTCTCTTGAAGTACAGGAGGCTGAAGAGGGTAATTACTGTTATAATGGAAGATACAGAGCTGCCAATTGTACACTGCAAGTTTTCACCAAACTGCAACATGGTGTCTCAACAATCAGTTTCTAATGTTTACATTGGAAACATGGTACAGAGGAAACAGTCTCTCTGCATCCATTTCCTCAAAACCTTTCGTTGTTTCAAATAACTCCATTAAACCACTCATCAGTTTCTCCTGTGGCAAAGAGTGCTACTCATCCAAATAAGATAGTCACCACAAAAATCAATAGGGATTTCAGAAGAAACATCTTTAGCCAGATCCTGATGAAAATGTTGAACTCACTACATCAGCAAGTAGTTGAAACAAATAGTACTAATTCATTGAAT